GGCCGTCGGCCTTTCTCGGCCTGCGTTCCCGCTCTCTCGTCTTCGCGTCCGGTAGCTTGTAACAGCCGCTCTCTCCTGGGTGCCGGGTCCTCAGGGCAGCTCGTGTGACGGTTAACTTCCTCTCTCCTTTTGCTGTTCGGGACGCCCCGGAAAAGAGCGTAGTGCCAGCCGTGACGGGGGACGCCCGCGAGCCCGTCCACCGGCCGTCCCCCCTCCCGTTCAGCCGGCGGCCCGTGCGGTTGCCTGCTTTTAAGGCCGGGAAGCAGCGAGAGGAGACGCTTCAGCTCCTGCCGTGTGTGGCCACTTTTCTTGGAGCGGTTTGCCTGGGGCACCGGGCTGGACCTTCCCGACTTACGAGGGAGACTCTTAGCACCTTTTTCTCAGTCCGGGGGCAGGTCTTTCAGGATCTTCCCACTTCCCTTTTTTCGGTCATGTCTCTCTTTCCGAGAGTGCTTGATTCATCGTCCCTTGGAGATCTTGATGGGTTCTAGAGCGCTGGAGGGTTGCCCTCTGCTCTGATTCCTGCTGGCCCGCTCTTTCTACCCGTGCGGGTTTTGTCTCATTTTGTTACATTCAGTCCTCTTCTTTTGCTTTTCTTTTCTGTTTTTGGGTTTTAAGGTCTTGGTTCTTGGTTGTATTTAACTTTGGCTTTACTTACTTCTGGAGATGGTCCAACATTGTCTTTCTTCAGCTGCTGCTTGTCTTTTCCACGCCTCTGCGCTCCCTGCGGGCTCTTCTGTCCTGTCCTTCCTTGCGATGGTGCTTTTCCATCTGTGCCGCCCTCTTCATGTCGCATTGGGGCACTCTTGCCCACTCTGCTCCCCGCCTCTGCCCGTGCTGCCCTGACTGCTGCTTTGTTCCGGATCCAGGGCATCCAGTTACTGCCTGGCTACGGCCACTTGGCTGCCGTGGGCGGCCTCGCACAGTCTCTTGCTCGTGTGTCCCCGTTCTCAGGGGCGCGGTTGCCAGATGCAAGGGAAAGACCTAAACCTCCCTGCTGCCCTCTTCCCCTTCTTCAGGCAGGTCTTGAATCCATTCCACCCTCTTCCCATTCTCCCTTCCATCCCCAGCTCGGTTAGGCCCTCCCCCTCTGTGACTGGCCCCGAGCCCTTCCTGCTCTGTTGCGCTTCACGTCCCATCCTCCCTTCATTCCTTAGTTGTCTGGCGAGGCTCCGGGCCTCTGCTGCTTCTCCCCTCCTCCTTCTGCAGGAGACAGCCCCGCTATGGGCTCTTACGGAGGTCACCGGGCCGCCATGGGCCCCTAGCTCCTGCAGCCCTCACCGCGGGCTTTGGTCTCACATGCTGACCTGCTGGGGTGTCTTGGACATCCAGCCCTCCTCCCCAGCCTGGGAGCCCTCAGAGCTTCTCTGCTCCCAGGCTGGCCTTGGGCTCAGCAAAATGGGTGCTCAAGGAATGGGTGTCAGGAATTAAGGGCCCTCACTGTTGGCTTTAATACTAGTAATCATATTTATGGTAATTTAAATAAGTCTAAGGAAAATTGCTCTCATTTTTGGTGTACTTTTTTTTCAGGGTTATTTTGGAGCCGTTGGAGCACTCCTTGAGCTGTTGAAGATCCCCTGATCGTTACCTGGGGAGGGGTTCCTGGAACATTCCACAGTGGGATCTGTGAACTTTTGTTTTTTAAGAGACTTACTCAATTTTATGATTGTGTACTACCCGAATCAAAGCAAGAAAGGACAAGTGTATTTTTCTAAGTCATCAAGATAAATCCTTAAAAATTCAGTCTAAACTAGTAACCAGTAAGGAAAGATACATATGTAAAAAAGTGGACCATGTCCATGGCAGTGAGGATCTTCTGCTGTGTTGAAGTTGCTCTTCAGTATAGCTTTGTTAACCTGCCATGTATTTTTAAAATTCAGTGTCACTTCTGGAGCCACTTCAGGGGAGCTGTTCTGTGTTCAGCTGACTGTGGTTTTGTGTCCTGTTGAACTTGCTAGATGTAAGGCAAGCACTGTATGTTGTAATCTAATCACAATGTTGTCAATATGGCCTTGGAGATCATCATCTGTGCATTAACTGTGGTGTGCATTTAGCCTTTTGTGTGAACATACTGAAAAACATGTTTTATTTCAAGGATCTGCAAACTTGATGGGGCAGAGTAATTCTGTATTTGTAACTTTGGCAATTAAGCAACTTTTGGAAGGGCAGTTCCAGGTTACTCTACACTGCAAGTCCTGGGAAGGTCTGTTTGGAAAGATGGGGCTTAGTTTACCCTGGGCAGAATTTCCTGGGGGGTGGGGATGGGGGCTGGGAGGTAATTTGGTCTTAAGTGAGTTAAGCTAGTAGAAAAAACACCACCTGGAAGACTAAAACCAGACAGAAGGGGCCTCTTGAATTGACATCTTTTCAGGGAATCGAGAATTTGGTTGTTTCGGGCTGGTAGAAAGTGAGGAATTGAAGTCCACTGATTAACTCATGGGGAGCAGGGTGGGGTACTTCTGCCTTCCCCTCCCACTTGGGGTCTTCACTTGCCAGAAATTGCCAGACAGCCTGGCTCGGTAGGACTGTGTGAGAGCCGCACGTGCAGGCTCAAAAGGTAGCATGATTAGAGTCAGGTTTTAAGATGGAGTCTTGGTAGATTGACTTAGAACGTTTTTTTCTGCTGTGCAGAATAATTTAAAAAACTCTTCCCCTTGGAGATAGAGCAGCGTTTTATTTTGTGTATTTTTGTGTCTGCATCTCTGTTGAAGGCGATGAAGGGTCTGTATAAAATCAGCCTTTGAACCAGAAGGAAACCCCAGCCTCCTTGGCGCCTGGGCAGGGGGGGAACCTGGAGGGAAGGTTCCCAGGGTCGCCGAGGGAGGAGGGTCGGATCCCTCGGCACCCCTTGTGTTGGCCGCGTGGGGGCAGCAGAGGCGCGTAGCAGCCGAGCTCGGCGGCCTGCCGGCCCGAGCGGCCGTTTCCCAGGGCACGTCCCGCCCCTTCACGCAGTTGGGCGCCTGTGGCTTGTGGGTGCTGCCAGCCTGGCGCAGGCGGAAGGGCTGGAGGGACGCTGCGGGGATGGGACTGGTGGCCCCTGGGTGGCGATCGGCTTCTCTGCTGCTGCCAGCCCTCGTGGCGCTCGGGGCCCTCAGACGCGTTCCCCACGGCCTCCAGAGACAGCGTCACTACCCACTTGCTGCTGCACAGTCGTGCTTCTGGAGCCCCTTGTGGCCCGGGCCTCTCCGCTTGCTCCCCTCCGGGACGGTAGCCTGGTGCGTCAGCCGCGAGTTCCTGAGTCGAACGGACATTGCCTGGCCTCGTCGTCAGTTCTGGCGGCTCCTGCCCGGCGCGCTGCCGCTCCCGCTCCTCAGAGGACGCAGGTGCCGCCCGGCCCCTCCCAGCCCCTCCCAGCCCCTGCCGCCTTCCCCTGTCACCGCGGAGTGTCCCTAAGGCCATCCCTGCACATTCTCGTCCCGAGCCTGATCCCAGTTTACGGCCACTTCACTCCCTCCGGCTTGTGAGATGCGTGTAAGGAAACTCCCCTCTCCAGGTGCCCCTGTCCTGTCCCGGCCGGCCCCGTCGCGAGGGGGCCCGAGGGGGCTCCCCCTCCCCCCCCCCCGGCAGTGTGTGTCGGCGGGGAGGGGTGGCCCAAACCAAGATGGACGAGGAAGGCGCCGAGGGCCGAGGGCTGGCGCGTGGAGGCTGGCGAGGGGGGCGGGAGTCCCGGTGAGGGGATCCAGGCTTGTTGGGGAGGCTTGGTTTGGGACTGTGTGGTTGATACCAAAAAGGCAGCTATTTTAATGGGAGATTCCAGGCCCGAGAGGGCTGTGTATCTAGGTGGGAGTTGGTGAGTGTGAAGGTAGAGTGAGAATAACCGTTACAAGGTGGGCAGAGAAGGGGAAGGCTGCAGAGAAAGTGGCCCAGTGAGGGCCGGCGGGGGCTGGGGCCCAGGCCGCAGAGGGGGAGGAGTTCTCCGGCACCTGCATTCAGAGGAGGTTTAGGACGCGGTGCCGATGTGTGGCGGGGTCCGGATAGCCTTGAGGGGAGCACTTTTCCTCCAAGCTGTGGGGCCAGAGCTGAGCTGCAGGGGTCCCAGTGAGGGGTGGTGAGGAGAAATGGCAGTCGCCACAGGGTGACTTTGGACCAAGAGAGGTTTTCCACTTCTAAGGGAATAGTTGGTATTTGCAAGCCTGAGGTGTAGCTAGAGGGGTGGGGTGGGGCTAGTTCCCCCACCTCAGTCCCGCCCCCCCCC